TCGTCTCCAGGCAGGTCCGCCCACATGCAGATACACCCACATATGAGTACCCGGCACGAAGACTCTTACCTGTGCTACACCATGCTTCAAGACAAAATTTCATTTATTTGTAATTAGAAATAAATATTTCACAATATATAATTACATATTGTTTTGTGATTCATCACTGTGCTTTAATTATGTTCAATTTGTAACAATGAAAATGCATCCTGCATATCAGATACTTACTTTATATCAGATACTTACTTTGTGATTCATAACAGTAGCAAAATTACAGTTATGAAGTAGCAACGAAAATAATTTATGGTTGGGGTCACTGCAACATGAGGAACTGTATTAAAGGGTTGCCGCATGAGGCAGGTTGAGACCCATTGTGCTAGAGGGTTGAATGGCATTGGCTCTGAGGAATTTTCTAGACTGCACTCTTTCTGGAAGCAGATTGCCAGCTCTTTTCTTCCATCGAGCACTTGGTGGGTTCAAAGCCCCGGGCGATGGTACTCAGCATCGCCATTGCGCCACCAGGCTGCTGCTTCCGGAGTTCTGAAGCACGAAATCCAGGTGTTGGAGCCTGTTCTCGCAGAAGGCTCCAGGGAAGATCCCTTGCATGCCTTTCTCATCGCTTGGGCTTTTGCCAGCAATCCTGAATGTTCATTGGGTTGTAGACACTAATCTCTGCCTCAGACATCAGGTGGCATCCTCTGTGAGTCTGTCTCTGTCCATGCCTCCCCTTCAAGCAACAGCAGCTGTGTGGCCTTAGAGCCCACCCCAATCTGGTATGACAATGTCTTAACTTGATCCTATCTGCCAAGACCCTGTTTCCAAATAAGGTCACGGTCCCAGGTACTGTGGAGTTAGGGCTTCAACATAAATATTTGGGGACACAATTTAACTCACTGTTGGAATATCTAACCATTCTTTTAGTCTATTAACTTGATTTTCTTATGATTATGATAAAAGCACTTACAAATTTACTACAACACTGTTGGTTATTAACAATACAAACATCAGAATATCACATTGAAATGTTTTTGATATTTAATATAAGCTAGAATACTGAGCCTGGAGGGATTTGTTACCTCTGTAAGTGTTTGCCATTTTTTGAAAAAGGAGCTAGGAACTTGGGAACTGTAAAAACAGAACAGAAGACATTAGGATTTTTCCTGACTTTCACCTCCTCCGGGGCAGGAGGAGAGGAGCCCTGGGAGTAGAGTGGGGTTACTTGTTGGGCTACCTGCGCACTGGGAGGCTAGCAGTTTGAAACCACCAGGTGCTCCTGCAGGAAAAGAAGAGCCTTTCTACTCCTATAAAGAGTTATAGTCTCAGACACCCACAGAGACAGTTCTGTCCTGTCCTATAGGGTAGCCATGAGTCACAATTGATTCGATGGCAGGATGGTTTGCTGTTTTTAATAGCCTGAGGAAGGAGTCCTTGTGGGGCAGTAGCTAAGCGGGCTGGTGCTAACCGGAAGGTGGGCATTTGACTTGACAGCTGCTTTGAGAGAAAGATGTGGCCGTCAGCTTCCTGGAAGAGTCACAGCCTAGAAACCGCATGGGCATTCCCCCTGCCCTGTAGGGTTGCCGTGAGTCACAGTTGACTTGGGCTTATAGTGTCAGGTGGACAGAAAGTGCCC